CGTGGCCTGATGTCATGGCGGTCATCACGGAAGGTAATCGCCGCATGGATGCCTCCGCCCTCAGGGAGTACTTCCAGCCTCTGGAGAACTGGCTGCGGAAGGACAACAAGAAGCATGGTGCTGCCGTAGGATGGAAACTTGGTAAGAATCGGTCATATTCTGTTTCTTGCATGTCCCTTCTTTTCCTTTTTTGTCTCCACTTCACTGACGTCCTGGACTGGTCAGTGGAGCTTTGCTAACGACAGTACTTGTGGAGGTGAACAGGCAGACACAAAATCAGGAGCTTAAAATCGATATGTAATGCTGAAGGTATAAATTATAATATTGAATTAATTTTAAAGTGGGTGTAAATGAGTCTTGTCAAAAGACGAATACCGTGACTGTAATCCACTGCAGTGTCTTGCGGTGGCTTTGCTTCGCAGAATTTTCACCCAAGGATTCATTCCATTGGAAGTTGGACCTCAAACGATGATGATTACCGTTATTTCGACTCCTCTTAATTTTCATATTGTGGATGGAGAGCCTAGTAGGAACTCATCCACTGTTCACAGCGTAAAAATTGGAAGCGATGCGACACATTTTGGCGTGTGTTCCTCTGTGAACATAAGTGCAGCAAATCCCATTACATCATGGAAGTGCAGTGCCAAGGTGAAGGCAACTTGGAAGACACAACTCATGTCAACTCCTTCAAAAGTTATTTTTCTTCCAATTCCAGATGGAAGGTATTGTTCGGCATAGAAAACCTGATGAGGGAGCCTCGGGACGAAGCAGAGATGGAGACGGAGAGGGGCCCCTCCTCGTCCTCGCATTCTCAATGATGTGTCCTATCATTCATACATATTGAATAAAATTTTATCCATGGAAAGATGATTTTTCTGCTTATCCTATTAATTTAAGCGATTTCTACCTCTGGAACGAGTTAGAAGCATTTGCTTCAGCAATTGTGTTGAAAGCTTCGCTGGAAAGGGAGAAGAGTGCGTGATTCACTGTTGTCAGGCGTGTCAGTTACCTCAAACGGGCGATTGTCGATTATTAATTGGGTGTCTTTGTTTTCGGTTGGCATAAGCTTCTCTGTTGTGGTTGCAAAATGGTCGCCGTTGATCAATTTCCGGCTCGGCAAAATCACTGGCAATTTTGTCTCTCTTGTTCCACGTTTTTTTTGGTATTTCGGAGTCAATAGTAGGCAGGCGAATCAATTATTAATAATAAATACCATAATTAGCGCATCTTGCGTAATTGGCGACGCACTGCTCTCCCCTCTGCGAGACAAAACATCTTAAAGTCTCGAGAGACTTCCTGCAAGAACATTCAAATTATGTGAGGACGATCTCGTCCCAACATAATTGGGAAATTGCATGGCGTTTTAGATGCAGCTGGTACCAAAATCCCAGCACATCTAGCTCGTTCCCCTAGAAGCAGTTGAGAAGCTTTCGGTCATGGTCTGTCTAGGTCTTTCAGGATAGTCTTTTCCTTCCCTTATAGTTATTAGAACTTTCTTTTTCTTTAAGGTATTTGTTAAATGGAAATGCCATTCGAATGACCTCACCCTAGAGTCTTGATTCAGCAGGAAGTTTCTTTATTTTTCGTTAAATCGTAGATTATAGCGTGATTTAGAGATTTCCTGAACTTCAAGGAAATCGAGGAAACCTATATCGCTCGAAAGCGATTAGCCTGAGAGGCACGTGCACTATCATGTATGAACTTGCCAACAAATGACTTATTCCTGGTGGTCTTCACTCAAAAATATTCCATGAAATGCGTGCTTATACCTATAGCCGATATTATAAGAAACGCGAGGGTGATGAGAACGACGAACGCTTTTCAGTACAACTGAGAAGAAATGTGAGTTTTCTAGTCTATACATAGATCATGCCAATGCACTATCTACTCAGATTGACCACAGCAGGATCAAATGGCAACTTTTCGCAATATAACAAACGAATTCAAACAGAGGATATCGAGACCTTTCGAATGATATTATCCCACTGGAATTTGGGTCCAAAATTAATATGAAAGGTTATTTTGGTCAGGTCTTAAGGTCAACTCGTTAAAAGTATCTAGTATGATTTTGCTATAACTAAACAAAAACGTAATTTCCAATTTCACCAGACAAAATCCGGTCAGTACAAACTTCTGACCTTTCCCGTAGATATTCCTCGCATGTCTGCAATGGTCCCAAAGTGACAGCACTACGACGCACTTCAGACAGACACAGGCAATTATCAGTCTCAACTGCATCCTATGTGGCAATTTCTTACAGGATGGTGCACCGGACAAGGTCCGATCGGGTAGCTGTGGCTGTCCCGTCCTTGTCGTCATCCATGTGAAATCTACTTTTGGCTGCACTCCGGGATATACTGGGAAGAGTTGGATTTCAGAGGAGGAGCCAAAGGAACACTATGGAGCAGTCCAGGATCGAACCCAAGGCCTCATGACTGCTGGTCTACTGTGCTACCACTACACCACCGAGCCCCCGTCGTCCAGTCGTACCTCTCCATGCCATCCCTAACACTACAACGGGAGACAACCACCCGCAAGACCCACTCCCGAAGCTCCACTCCCCAGGCCCAGCCCATGCTCGATATTTTCTACAAGCCAGTACTCGGTCACATGACCTGACATGAAGATATTGGGAGGTACTGAAGATGCATGCAATCTCCATGATGATTAGGTCACGATGGAAAGGCGGAACTCTATCATCCCTTGAAGAAAATAGCAGCCAACTCGCCAACACTGGGAGCATTGTAGAACCGTTTATCATCGCGGGCTTCCCCACGAAAGGGAAGTCAAGAGCTCATGAAGAAGGCAACAGATGCAATCCGTGCAATTGTTCTTTCGTAGGGATGCCCTTATATGTAATCGAGGTTGCAGTGAAGTTGCAGGGCCGTTTCTAGGCATGTTGCCGCCAAGGGCAAGGTGTTCCAATGGCGCCCCTTTCATCCAATTGCCACCCATCGTTCCCCCCCCTGGCGACTTAAGTCGTATTTTGGCTAAGGGACTGGGGCGGCAGGGCAACAGCACGGGGCCCCATACCCTACCCTAGCGATATCAGGTGGGGAAATTACCATTACCTCCAAGGGGGCGCCAAGCCCTGTCCCAGGGGCGCCAAGGGGGGGCGGCTGCCCCCTCTGCCCCCGTAAAATACGCCACTGCGTATTTGGCATCCTACACTTTATAGTCCTGTCTCCACGAACATGTCTAATTGTCCAGGCCTTTTCATGCCGAACCTATAACAGCTATAATTTACCTCAAGCTTGGATGGTTAGGATACGGTGAATCCAATGGTACAGGGGTCAGTGGAATGCCAGATGTGTACCTGGGCTGGTACTCTAGTTTTTTAATTCCGATGTTTCGGTTCAGTTTCGAAACGGGCAGATGTCCTCGCGTCTCTTGTTTTTTCCAGCTTGCAAATTTCAAGTTCCATCTCTCCGGGGCTGTGGAGAAAACTGAATATCGTTTTTGGAGGATGTGAATTTCATTCCGTCTTTTTTTTTTTGTTCTCCCCCCCCTTTGGTAGCCACTCCTGCGGGGTTGTCGGAGAAACGAGACCAACCATGAAAAAAATATTGACTCGTCATAGATAACGAAAACTGACCTTTTGGTTGTTTGTGATGCACCATTTCGCTATGAAAAGTGAAATGAGCTGTCGTTCAATTAGGTTTAGAGAACTCGCTCAGGTACAGTCCCCAGTGTTGCCGGATACCGTGCCGAAATAACGCCAAATTCAAGACTACTTCCCCTTTGTATCGGCGTCTGGATCCTTTGTTTTTTTAATTATATGATACATTTTTGAACTGAGTTCATGAGTTAAGCTGAGAATGGTACGGTGATTAGCGGTGATTGATCAATGTGCTGAGATATTGAGATAAGTCATCCTGATATCCCTGAATTAAGGTGGTACGGGAAGGAAAATCGATGGGTCTGGGATTCAAAATTTTATCCGTAATTCTT